CCTGGGATTCGAACCCGCACTATCGCCCCACATGCATTCCCCCAGACACTTCGCATTCATACTCATTCTTCCAAGATGCTTCACGTTATGATCTTGCGTTTGAAAGCCCTTTTTGAATATTGCGGCCAGCTGTATGTGGCCAGCTGTGTTTGATGGTACGGTACGGTACGGGACAGATACGGGATAGCGCCAGGCGTGACACAAACACACAAACAAACAAACATTCACCAAATTAAAGCTGTGTGGACCCTGGCTAGCGCCAGACGTTACTGAAGTAACGTCTTCTGCATAGCTACGGGAATAATAAATTCTACTACTACTACTACTACTACTACTACTACTACTACTACTACTACTACTACTACTACTACTACTACTACTACTACTACTACTACTACTACTACTACTACTACTACTACTACTACTACTACTACTACTACTACTACTACTACTACTACTACTACTACTACTACTACTACTACTACTACTACTACTACTACTACTACTACTACTACTACTACTACTACTACTACTACTACTACTACTACTACTACTACTACTACTACTACTACTACTACTACTACTACTACTACTACTACTACTACTACTACTACTACTACTACTACTACTACTACTACTACTACTACTACTACTACTACTACTACTACTACTACTACTACTACTACTACTACTACTACTACTACTACTACTACTACTACTACTACTACTACTACTACTACTACTACTACTACTACTACTACTACTACTACTACTACTACTACTACTACTACTACTACTACTACTACTACTACTACTACTACTACTACTACTACTACTACTACTACTACTACTACTACTACTACTACTACTACTACTACTACTACTACTACTACTACTACTACTACTACTACTACTACTACTACTACTACTACTACTACTACTACTACTACTACTACTACTACTACTACTACTACTACTACTACTACTACTACTACTACTACTACTACTACTACTACTACTACTACTACTACTACTACTACTACTACTACTACTACTACTACTACTACTACTACTACTACTACTACTACTACTACTACTACTACTACTACTACTACTACTACTACTACTACTACTACTACTACTACTACTACTACTACTACTACTACTACTACTACTACTACTACTACTACTACTACTACTACTACTACTACTACTACTACTACTACTACTACTACTACTACTACTACTACTACTACTACTACTACTACTACTACTACTACTACTACTACTACTACTACTACTACTACTACTACTACTACTACTACTACTACTACTACTACTACTACTACTACTACTACTACTACTACTACTACTACTACTACTACTACTACTACTACTACTACTACTACTACTACTACTACTACTACTACTACTACTACTACTACTACTACTACTACTACTACTACTACTACTACTACTACTACTACTACTACTACTACTACTACTACTACTACTACTACTACTACTACTACTACTACTACTACTACTACTACTACTACTACTACTACTACTACTACTACTACTACTACTACTACTACTACTACTACTACTACTACTACTACTACTACTACTACTACTACTACTACTACTACTACTACTACTACTACTACTACTACTACTACTACTACTACTACTACTACTACTACTACTACTACTACTACTACTACTACTACTACTACTACTACTACTACTACTACTACTACTACTACTACTACTACTACTACTACTACTACTACTACTACTACTACTACTACTACTACTACTACTACTACTACTACTACTACTACTACTACTACTACTACTACTACTACTACTACTACTACTACTACTACTACTACTACTACTACTACTACTACTACTACTACTACTACTACTACTACTACTACTACTACTACTACTACTACTACTACTACTACTACTACTACTACTACTACTACTACTACTACTACTACTACTACTACTACTACTACTACTACTACTACTACTACTACTACTACTACTACTACTACTACTACTACTACTACTACTACTACTACTACTACTACTACTACTACTACTACTACTACTACTACTACTACTACTACTACTACTACTACTACTACTACTACTACTACTACTACTACTACTACTACTACTACTACTACTACTACTACTACTACTACTACTACTACTACTACTACTACTACTACTACTACTACTACTACTACTACTACTACTACTACTACTACTACTACTACTACTACTACTACTACTACTACTACTACTACTACTACTACTACTACTACTACTACTACTACTACTACTACTACTACTACTACTACTACTACTACTACTACTACTACTACTACTACTACTACTACTACTACTACTACTACTACTACTACTACTACTACTACTACTACTACTACTACTACTACTACTACTACTACTACTACTACTACTACTACTACTACTACTACTACTACTACTACTACTACTACTACTACTACTACTACTACTACTACTACTACTACTACTACTACTACTACTACTACTACTACTACTACTACTACTACTACTACTACTACTACTACTACTACTACTACTACTACTACTACTACTACTACTACTACTACTACTACTACTACTACTACTACTACTACTACTACTACTACTACTACTACTACTACTACTACTACTACTACTACTACTACTACTACTACTACTACTACTACTACTACTACTACTACTACTACTACTACTACTACTACTACTACTACTACTACTACTACTACTACTACTACTACTACTACTACTACTACTACTACTACTACTACTACTACTACTACTACTACTACTACTACTACTACTACTACTACTACTACTACTACTACTACTACTACTACTACTACTACTACTACTACTACTACTACTACTACTACTACTACTACTACTACTACTACTACTACTACTACTACTACTACTACTACTACTACTACTACTACTACTACTACTACTACTACTACTACTACTACTACTACTACTACTACTACTACTACTACTACTACTACTACTACTACTACTACTACTACTACTACTACTACTACTACTACTACTACTACTACTACTACTACTACTACTACTACTACTACTACTACTACTACTACTACTACTACTACTACTACTACTACTACTACTACTACTACTACTACTACTACTACTACTACTACTACTACTACTACTACTACTACTACTACTACTACTACTACTACTACTACTACTACTACTACTACTACTACTACTACTACTACTACTACTACTACTACTACTACTACTACTACTACTACTACTACTACTACTACTACTACTACTACTACTACTACTACTACTACTACTACTACTACTACTACTACTACTACTACTACTACTACTACTACTACTACTACTACTACTACTACTACTACTACTACTACTACTACTACTACTACTACTACTACTACTACTACTACTACTACTACTACTACTACTACTACTACTACTACTACTACTACTACTACTACTACTACTACTACTACTACTACTACTACTACTACTACTACTACTACTACTACTACTACTACTACTACTACTACTACTACTACTACTACTACTACTACTACTACTACTACTACTACTACTACTACTACTACTACTACTACTACTACTACTACTACTACTACTACTACTACTACTACTACTACTACTACTACTACTACTACTACTACTACTACTACTACTACTACTACTACTACTACTACTACTACTACTACTACTACTACTACTACTACTACTACTACTACTACTACTACTACTACTACTACTACTACTACTACTACTACTACTACTACTACTACTACTACTACTACTACTACTACTACTACTACTACTACTACTACTACTACTACTACTACTACTACTACTACTACTACTACTACTACTACTACTACTACTACTACTACTACTACTACTACTACTACTACTACTACTACTACTACTACTACTACTACTACTACTACTACTACTACTACTACTACTACTACTACTACTACTACTACTACTACTACTACTACTACTACTACTACTACTACTACTACTACTACTACTACTACTACTACTACTACTACTACTACTACTACTACTACTACTACTACTACTACTACTACTACTACTACTACTACTACTACTACTACTACTACTACTACTACTACTACTACTACTACTACTACTACTACTACTACTACTACTACTACTACTACTACTACTACTACTACTACTACTACTACTACTACTACTACTACTACTACTACTACTACTACTACTACTACTACTACTACTACTACTACTACTACTACTACTACTACTACTACTACTACTACTACTACTACTACTACTACTACTACTACTACTACTACTACTACTACTACTACTACTACTACTACTACTACTACTACTACTACTACTACTACTACTACTACTACTACTACTACTACTACTACTACTACTACTACTACTACTACTACTACTACTACTACTACTACTACTACTACTACTACTACTACTACTACTACTACTACTACTACTACTACTACTACTACTACTACTACTACTACTACTACTACTACTACTACTACTACTACTACTACTACTACTACTACTACTACTACTACTACTACTACTACTACTACTACTACTACTACTACTACTACTACTACTACTACTACTACTACTACTACTACTACTACTACTACTACTACTACTACTACTACTACTACTACTACTACTACTACTACTACTACTACTACTACTACTACTACTACTACTACTACTACTACTACTACTACTACTACTACTACTACTACTACTACTACTACTACTACTACTACTACTACTACTACTACTACTACTACTACTACTACTACTACTACTACTACTACTACTACTACTACTACTACTACTACTACTACTACTACTACTACTACTACCGTACTACTACTACTACTACTACTACTACTACTACTACTACTACTACTACTACTACTACTACTACTACTACTACTACTACTACTACTACTACTACTACTACTACTACTACTACTACTACTACTACTACTACTACTACTACTACTACTACTACTACTACTACTACTACTACTACTACTACTACTACTACTACTACTACTACTACTACTACTACTACTACTACTACTACTACTACTACTACTACTACTACTACTACTACTACTACTACTACTACTACTACTACTACTACTACTACTACTACTACTACTACTACTACTACTACTACTACTACTACTACTACTACTACTACTACTACTACTACTACTACTACTACTACTACTACTACTACTACTACTACTACTACTACTACTACTACTACTACTACTACTACTACTACTACTACTACTACTACTACTACTACTACTACTACTACTACTACTACTACTACTACTACTACTACTACTACTACTACTACTACTACTACTACTACTACTACTACTACTACTACTACTACTACTACTACTACTACTACTATACTACTACTACTACTACTACTACTACTACTACTACTACTACTACTACTACTACTACTACTACTACTACTACTACTACTACTACTACTACTACTACTACTACTACTACTACTACTACTACTACTACTACTACTACTACTACTACTACTACTACTACTACTACTACTACTACTACTACTACTACTACTACTACTACTACTACTACTACTCTACTACTACTACTACTACTACTACTACTACTACTACTACTACTACTACTACTACTACTACTACTACTACTACTACTACTACTACTACTACTACTACTACTACTACTACTACTACTACTACTACTACTACTACTACTACTACTACTACTACTACTACTACTACTACTACTACTACTACTACTACTACTACTACTACTACTACTACTACTACTACTACTACTACTAACTACTACTACTACTACTACTACTACTACTACTACTACTACTACTACTACTACTACTACTACTACTACTACTACTACTACTACTACTACTACTACTACTACTACTACTACTACTACTACTACTACTACTACTACTACTACTACTACTACTACTACTACTACTACTACTACTACTACTACTACTACTACTACTACTACTACTACTACTACTACTACTACTACTACTACTACTACTACTACTACTACTACTACTACTACTACTACTACTACTACTACTACTACTACTACACTACTACTACTACTACTACTACTACTACTACTACTACTACTACTACTACTACACTACTACTACTACTACTACTACTACTACTACTACTACTACTACTACTACTACTACTACTACTACTACTACTACTACTACTACTACTACTACTACTACTACTACTACTACTACTACTACTACTACTACTACTACTACTACTACTACTACTACTACTACTACTACTACTACTACTACTACTACTACTACTACTACTACTACTACTACTACTACTACTACTACTACTACTACTACTACTACTACTACTACTACTACTACTACTACTACTACTACTACTACTACTACTACTACTACTACTACTACTACTACTACTACTACTACTACTACTACTACTACTACTACTACTACTACTACTACTACTACTACTACTACTACTACTACTACTACTACTACTACTACTACTACTACTACTACTACTACTACTACTACTACTACTACTACTACTACTACTACTACTACTACTACTACTACTACTACTACTACTACTACTACTACTACTACTACTACTACTACTACTACTACTACTACTACTACTACTACTACTACTACTACTACTACTACTACTACTACTACTACTACTACTACTACTACTACTACTACTACTACTACTACTACTACTACTACTACTACTACTACTACTACTACTACTACTACTACTACTACTACTACTACTACTACTACTACTACTACTACTACTACTACTACTACTACTACTACTACTACTACTACTACTACTACTACTACTACTACTACTACTACTACTACTACTACTACTACTACTACTACTACTACTACTACTACTACTACTACTACTACTACTACTACTACTACTACTACTACTACTACTACTACTACTACTACTACTACTACTACTACTACTACTACTACTACTACTACTACTACTACTACTACTACTACTACTACTACTACTACTACTACTACTACTACTACTACTACTACTACTACTACTACTACTACTACTACTACTACTACTACTACTACTACTACTACTACTACTACTACTACTACTACTACTACTACTACTACTACTACTACTACTACTACTACTACTACTACTACTACTACTACTACTACTACTACTACTACTACTACTACTACTACTACTACTACTACTACTACTACTACTACTACTACTACTACTACTACTACTACTACTACTACTACTACTACTACTACTACTACTACTACTACTACTACTACTACTACTACTACTACTACTACTACTACTACTACTACTACTACTACTACTACTACTACTACTACTACTACTACTACTACTACTACTACTACTACTACTACTACTACTACTACTACTACTACTACTACTACTACTACTACTACTACTACTACTACTACTACTACTACTACTACTACTACTACTACTACTACTACTACTACTACTACTACTACTACTACTACTACTACTACTACTACTACTACTACTACTACTACTACTACTACTACTACTACTACTACTACTACTACTACTACTACTACTACTACTACTACTACTACTACTACTACTACTACTACTACTACTACTACTACTACTACTACTACTACTACTACTACTACTACTACTACTACTACTACTACTACTACTACTACTACTACTACTACTACTACTACTACTACTACTACTACTACTACTACTACTACTACTACTACTACTACTACTACTACTACTACTACTACTACTACTACTACTACTACTACTACTACTACTACTACTACTACTACTACTACTACTACTACTACTACTACTACTACTACTACTACTACTACTACTACTACTACTACTACTACTACTACTACTACTACTACTACTACTACTACTACTACTACTACTACTACTACTACTACTACTACTACTACTACTACTACTACTACTACTACTACTACTACTACTACTACTACTACTACTACTACTACTACTACTACTACTACTACTACTACTACTACTACTACTACTACTACTACTACTACTACTACTACTACTACTACTACTACTACTACTACTACTACTACTACTACTACTACTACTACTACTACTACTACTACTACTACTACTACTACTACTACTACTACTACTACTACTACTACTACTACTACTACTACTACTACTACTACTACTACTACTACTACTACTACTACTACTACTACTACTACTACTACTACTACTACTACTACTACTACTACTACTACTACTACTACTACTACTACTACTACTACTACTACTACTACTACTACTACTACTACTACTACTACTACTACTACTACTACTACTACTACTACTACTACTACTACTACTACTACTACTACTACTACTACTACTACTACTACTACTACTACTACTACTACTACTACTACTACTACTACTACTACTACTACTACTACTACTACTACTACTACTACTACTACTACTACTACTACTACTACTACTACTACTACTACTACTACTACTACTACTACTACTACTACTACTACTACTACTACTACTACTACTACTACTACTACTACTACTACTACTACTACTACTACTACTACTACTACTACTACTACTACTACTACTACTACTACTACTACTACTACTACTACTACTACTACTACTACTACTACTACTACTACTACTACTACTACTACTACTACTACTACTACTACTACTACTACTACTACTACTACTACTACTACTACTACTACTACTACTACTACTACTACTACTACTACTACTACTACTACTACTACTACTACTACTACTACTACTACTACTACTACTACTACTACTACTACTACTACTACTACTACTACTACTACTACTACTACTACTACTACTACTACTACTACTACTACTACTACTACTACTACTACTACTACTACTACTACTACTACTACTACTACTACTACTACTACTACTACTACTACTACTACTACTACTACTACTACTACTACTACTACTACTACTACTACTACTACTACTACTACTACTACTACTACTACTACTACTACTACTACTACTACTACTACTACTACTACTACTACTACTACTACTACTACTACTACTACTACTACTACTACTACTACTACTACTACTACTACTACTACTACTACTACTACTACTACTACTACTACTACTACTACTACTACTACTACTACTACTACTACTACTACTACTACTACTACTACTACTACTACTACTACTACTACTACTACTACTACTACTACTACTACTACTACTACTACTACTACTACTACTACTACTACTACTACTACTACTACTACTACTACTACTACTACTACTACTACTACTACTACTACTACTACTACTACTACTACTACTACTACTACTACTACTACTACTACTACTACTACTACTACTACTACTACTACTACTACTACTACTACTACTACTACTACTACTACTACTACTACTACTACTACTACTACTACTACTACTACTACTACTACTACTACTACTACTACTACTACTACTACTACTACTACTACTACTACTACTACTACTACTACTACTACTACTACTACTACTACTACTACTACTACTACTACTACTACTACTACTACTACTACTACTACTACTACTACTACTACTACTACTACTACTACTACTACTACTACTACTACTACTACTACTACTACTACTACTACTACTACTACTACTACTACTACTACTACTACTACTACTACTACTACTACTACTACTACTACTACTACTACTACTACTACTACTACTACTACTACTACTACTACTACTACTACTACTACTACTACTACTACTACTACTACTACTACTACTACTACTACTACTACTACTACTACTACTACTACTACTACTACTACTACTACTACTACTACTACTACTACTACTACTACTACTACTACTACTACTACTACTACTACTACTACTACTACTACTACTACTACTACTACTACTACTACTACTACTACTACTACTACTACTACTACTACTACTACTACTACTACTACTACTACTACTACTACTACTACTACTACTACTACTACTACTACTACTACTACTACTACTACTACTACTACTACTACTACTACTACTACTACTACTACTACTACTACTACTACTACTACTACTACTACTACTACTACTACTACTACTACTACTACTACTACTACTACTACTACTACTACTACTACTACTACTACTACTACTACTACTACTACTACTACTACTACTACTACTACTACTACTACTACTACTACTACTACTACTACTACTACTACTACTACTACTACTACTACTACTACTACTACTACTACTACTACTACTACTACTACTACTACTACTACTACTACTACTACTACTACTACTACTACTACTACTACTACTACTACTACTACTACTACTACTACTACTACTACTACTACTACTACTACTACTACTACTACTACTACTACTACTACTACTACTACTACTACTACTACTACTACTACTACTACTACTACTACTACTACTACTACTACTACTACTACTACTACTACTACTACTACTACTACTACTACTACTACTACTACTACTACTACTACTACTACTACTACTACTACTACTACTACTACTACTACTACTACTACTACTACTACTACTACTACTACTACTACTACTACTACTACTACTACTACTACTACTACTACTACTACTACTACTACTACTACTACTACTACTACTACTACTACTACTACTACTACTACTACTACTACTACTACTACTACTACTACTACTACTACTACTACTACTACTACTACTACTACTACTACTACTACTACTACTACTACTACTACTACTACTACTACTACTACTACTACTACTACTACTACTACTACTACTACTACTACTACTACTACTACTACTACTACTACTACTACTACTACTACTACTACTACTACTACTACTACTACTACTACTACTACTACTACTACTACTACTACTACTACTACTACTACTACTACTACTACTACTACTACTACTACTACTACTACTACTACTACTACTACTACTACTACTACTACTACTACTACTACTACTACTACTACTACTACTACTACTACTACTACTACTACTACTACTACTACTACTACTACTACTACTACTACTACTACTACTACTACTACTACTACTACTACTACTACTACTACTACTACTACTACTACTACTACTACTACTACTACTACTACTACTACTACTACTACTACTACTACTACTACTACTACTACTACTACTACTACTACTACTACTACTACTACTACTACTACTACTACTACTACTACTACTACTACTACTACTACTACTACTACTACTACTACTACTACTACTACTACTACTACTACTACTACTACTACTACTACTACTACTACTACTACTACTACTACTACTACTACTACTACTACTACTACTACTACTACTACTACTACTACTACTACTACTACTACTACTACTACTACTACTACTACTACTACTACTACTACTACTACTACTACTACTACTACTACTACTACTACTACTACTACTACTACTACTACTACTACTACTACTACTACTACTACTACTACTACTACTACTACTACTACTACTACTACTACTACTACTACTACTACTACTACTACTACTACTACTACTACTACTACTACTACTACTACTACTACTACTACTACTACTACTACTACTACTACTACTACTACTACTACTACTACTACTACTACTACTACTACTACTACTACTACTACTACTACTACTACTACTACTACTACTACTACTACTACTACTACTACTACTACTACTACTACTACTACTACTACTACTACTACTACTACTACTACTACTACTACTACTACTACTACTACTACTACTACTACTACTACTACTACTACTACTACTACTACTACTACTACTACTACTACTACTACTACTACTACTACTACTACTACTACTACTACTACTACTACTACTACTACTACTACTACTACTACTACTACTACTACTACTACTACTACTACTACTACTACTACTACTACTACTACTACTACTACTACTACTACTACTACTACTACTACTACTACTACTACTACTACTACTACTACTACTACTACTACTACTACTACTACTACTACTACTACTACTACTACTACTACTACTACTACTACTACTACTACTACTACTACTACTACTACTACTACTACTACTACTACTACTACTACTACTACTACTACTACTACTACTACTACTACTACTACTACTACTACTACTACTACTACTACTACTACTACTACTACTACTACTACTACTACTACTACTACTACTACTACTACTACTACTACTACTACTGAGAACGTTGACTTTATTTGATAACAAACTGGGTGCCGGAATGAAGAATTCAAAAAACGGAAGCAAAGAAGGCAATGGTGACAAATCCAATCAAGTATATCGTAGATAGGAAAATCAAATCAAATAAATCGGAAAATCCAATAAGAAAATATAATAAAAGAATCAAGTCAACTATCGAATACCAAAACAAAGAGTAAACTTGCATCCGCAAACACAATCAAAGCAGCACCGTTTACCCAACTCATCCAACAACCCAGACAAGAGAAAACCAGATAAGGTGCACAAAGAAAACGGGCAAGTCAACCATCAAATCATGACCAACATATAATAGCAAAATTGCTACAACAAAAATACAGACAATATCATGAAACAGTTAGGTCAGGCATGCTAAACAGCCAGGTGGGCACGGGCCCTACACTCCACCACAAAACCGCCATGACCAGTACCCATGAGCCTTCGGCGGTACGAGTGCCGTGACCCCCGCAGACAAGTTATTTGCCAGCGAATCAGGCACACACTGATCCGGGCACGAAGCTGGCGCATGATCAGTGAGTAGGGGAGATCACGGTTCCTCTCACTGATTTGAGCTGCTAACGACTTCAGGAATATTGACGCCTCCGGCGCACACTGCCCATTGGTGGCGAAAACCAACGGCGTGAACGAACCGCGGTCGACGTTGTTGATCCGGCTCGAGTACTGGCGCTTCTTCTGCCTCTCGTTGTCAGACAACTGGCTCGCTACTCCCGAACGCGACAGCAAAGACGGCCTTGGGTGGGTAACCCGAACATCAAAGAAGGCGTTTTGCTGTCGCGTCCAGAAACCGCGAGCCCGTATGTCTGCACGAGCGGCATCAGCTCTAATACCTGAGACCGTCTCACCATCGAGAGGCAGCAGAACAGGCTCCAACTCGACATCATACGCCACCTCGGACATGGCACTAGCCAGCAGGTCCCGAACCTCGTTGTGACGTTGCGTTGGGTACCCGCCACAGGGGCATGTCATAGCGTGGTGGCTTGTCATGTCTTTGCCACACACGCATGATGCTGGCAAACCTTCCAAGGGAAGGCCATATCGTAGGCCCACAGCATCACGGAAATCCGTCCTGCTGAAAACGGTCCCAGGCATTGTAGTCGCAGGTGGAGTCGTCAACCAACTTGAGACGCCATCTTCACCTGCGACCTCTACCAGTAGCCGTTGCGTGGGCGGGAGGCCGGATCGGATCTCCTCTGCCAAGTTCCGCTGCTGAACACGGCGCGCCGCCCGAGCACCTGCAGCCAATGTCCTGCATGCTGTTACCACAGACGACACCTCATGCGTGGAGGTGCCACCGACTACCAACTCCACCATGGGTGCAATGGCGTCTCGGCACAAGGTGCGCTCAGCAGCCGCCCGTGACACATTGCTACGGACCGCAAGACCACCAAGCTTTGCTGGAAGGGAAAGCAGTGCTCGCAAACCTCCCTCAACCGGCACAGAATGGCCCGTGAATGCAGGCAGCAGCTGATCATTTAGGACGCGATCCAGGGGTGCGTAGAGTGCCCCGTCAGCATTAGCAACGCGCTGCAAGTATGACCACCGAGACTGAATGGCAGAGATGAATAAGTGGTAAGCCGCGTGGGGCTGGGTCTCTGCAACACTCGCCAGCCTCTTGGTTAAAGCACACCAGTCACCCACACGGCTTCCCACAAACCCATCACAGAACTCAGTGCTGCCGATGACTCCACCGAGATACCGGACGCCATCAGAGCAAATCCGGATGCCAGTGCCTGCAAATACCCGCTCAGCGTCTGACACCAGATGGCTCTTGACGAGGAGCACGGTCTTGGCAGCATTAGGCTTGTAGCCATACTTCGGGCCCTCAGCCGAGATGCAGTTCCAGTACTCACCGAGTGCCACAACGCGGTCCACAGCGGCATCGTCGTCAGCATACCACACCTGCATGGAACCACTGCATGTTGTGGACAGATGCTTGGCCAGAGGGACGGTAGCCAAAGCATAAAATGCCATGGCCAGTGGATCTCCTTGGCACGTGCCCTCTCTTGAGTAGAGTGTCTCGCCACCATCCAGGTACAGGGGGATATCCGCTTGGTACGTGTTCACAAATACCCGCCCTGCAGCTGGGCACACGCGTGGTATGTTATTCAGTGCAGCTGCCCGGTTCACTGAATTAAAGGCGTTAGTGGCGTCGACGAGGAGTATTGCCTCTGACTCCTCCTTGGCAAATACCGATGACAGCGCCTCCACAGCCACTTCACATGCCGATGGTATCCCGACGCACAGCTGGGTTGGCGCCGTCGCAATCACCACATCCTTCTCAATCGCCGCCATGATTGCCTTGCCAACTGCACGCCGAAACACCTCACCCACAGCGATGGGCCGCACGCCAGGTCGCTTATCCAGTGGTATCAGTCGCGCTGCCAGAAACGGGCGCAGATGCAAAGCGTCCAGCCTCTCCGTGCACAGGCATTTGGCCACGCGAGAGAGGGCCGAACAGAGCTCGTCAGAAGCTGACTTGAACATGCCAACCATCCGACGCCAGGCAGCCGCATCCAAAGCCGAAGGTCCAGCAGCTCCCTTCATTCCCAATATCGTCTTCTTCATAGCTGCTGGTGTTATCGCCTCAAACATAACTGGATCCGGGGGGTCGGGGCTACAGTCCAGTAGGATGTCTGGATCAGCCGGCTGGGGAGCAGGGTGCTTATCCCGCAGGTGCTCTAGAACTGACTTCCCACTCACCTCTTCATCCAGGGGAAGAACGCCACCAGCACCATCAGCATCCAGGTATTGGGCAGCACTGCCAACTCGGTCATTGAAAACCATGTTCGCTAAGCGAACATCGTCCAAAGCACGTGGACTCGAATCACCCACGGCTGCATCAGAGAGATGAGCCTGAATGCATCGGGACTCCCGTAGCAATGGAGAGAGATCACCGGCAGTCCACAGCCCAAGCCGCTTGGCCAAAAACGTCTTGTGGTCGCTAGCCGCAGATCCACGAAACGGCTTCTGCAACAACAGATGACAGGCGACGACCACCGCCGACCACGCAAAGGCCCGAGCACCCGAGCCATCCGTAAATAAGCCAATGAGGCGTGCAATCTCCTTGACGAACTCTTTGCCTTCCGAGCCGAAGGGGACCATAAACACGTTTCTTCTCCATGAGATGACTTCACGGTATGCAGAATCGAACATGCTCACAGTCTCATCAGTAGTCTGACTCCAAAACCCTTCATCTGCAGATGAGTTACTGCCACCCTCAACCACCGTACTCGGCTCACGCGACGCTTGCTTTTCCGGACACAGAGGGGCCAGACGAACATGCGATGGCTGATATAGCGATGCTGGTGAACAGGATGGTTCCGCCTGAGGCTGTCCAGACGAACCGGGACCCACAGAAGCCGGCGCCGCAGACACAGGCACCCGGGAAGCTGCAGTGGGATCAGAAGAAGCACCCGCGGACTACTACTACTACTACTACTACTACTACTACTACTACTACTACTACTACTACTACTACTACTACTACTACTACTACTACTACTACTACTACTACTACTACTACTACTACTACTACTACTACTACTACTACTACTACTACTACTACTACTACTACTACTACTACTACTACTACTACTACTACTACTACTACTACTACTACTACTACTACTACTACTACTACTACTACTACTACTACTACTACTACTACTACTACTACTACTACTACTACTACTACTACTACTACTACTACTACTACTACTACTACTACTACTACTACTACTACTACTACTACTACTACTACTACTACTACTACTACTACTACTACTACTACTACTACTACTACTACTACTACTACTACTACTACTACTACTACTACTACTACTACTACTACTACTACTACTACTACTACTACTACTACTACTACTACTACTACTACTACTACTACTACTACTACTACTACTACTACTACTACTACTACTACTACTACTACTACTACTACTACTACTACTACTACTACTACTACTACTACTACTACTACTACTACTACTACTACTACTACTACTACTACTACTACTACTACTACTACTACTACTACTACTACTACTACTACTACTACTACTACTACTACTACTACTACTACTACTACTACTACTACTACTACTACTACTACTACTACTACTACTACTACTACTACTACTACTACTACTACTACTACTACTACTACTACTACTACTACTACTACTACTACTACTACTACTACTACTACTACTACTACTACTACTACTACTACTACTACTACTACTACTACTACTACTACTACTACTACTACTACTACTACTACTACTACTACTACTACTACTACTACTACTACTACTACTACTACTACTACTACTACTACTACTACTACTACTACTACTACTACTACTACTACTACTACTACTACTACTACTACTACTACTACTACTACTACTACTACTACTACTACTACTACTACTACTACTACTACTACTACTACTACTACTACTACTACTACTACTACTACTACTACTACTACTACTACTACTACTACTACTACTACTACTACTACTACTACTACTACTACTACTACTACTACTACTACTACTACTACTACTACTACTACTACTACTACTACTACTACTACTACTACTACTACTACTACTACTACTACTACTACTACTACTACTACTACTACT